GATGTCACCACAGTGACAAGCCAGCCCTCCCAGATGTCCCAACCTCAGCTGTCCCTTGATGACAACGCAAGGGGGTAAAACAAAACTATAAATCTACAGAACTTTTCTTAACCTATATACACAATATTTGTGTGTTAATTGTGGGAGTCAATCGTCACATTACTCATCTATCACAGCTGGGTAAGAAGGAAGGAAAAAAACCTGGCTTCTGCTGTGTAAAGTTTGGACTAACATACAGAGATGCTACATGGACATGTCACATAAAACTGGGGGAAGGAGGGAAAACAACTGGAGGAAGTTCAGCGGTTTAGAAATTAATTAGGTTAATCTGTTTCTCCCCACATTAATGTCCAGGGATAAGGAGGAACTCAGTACAGTTTTTACTACTCAGCTGCTGCCTGGCTCAGTACTCCATGAACCTCCTGAGCTCTGCGCATGACCCCGCAGCAGAAGTAGCTGGAGAAGCTGATATTAAGGTTCATTTAATTTGAAAATTAATGACAGAATTTTCTCTGCTCATTCCTTGGTGAGAAAGATATAAGCAAAAAGATTTGGGTGCTGGTCTGAGGGAAATCTAATTATTTTTCCATTCATACTGGAGAGGTTCTCAGCTGTTGTTTTTATCTTTCTCCCTGCTTGTGTTCAACTGTATGAAGTTCACTTTGACTTTTCACATCTCTCAGACAACACAGCCTGAAGTGAAGCAGGCACATACAGAATGTTCATTAACACAATGTCCTTCACCTGGAAAACATAATTTACAGAGCTGAGGAAAACATCATGACAAGTCTGTATCAGCAGTTTTCGAGTCAGCCAATTTATGCAGCTGAAGACGAGGACTGGGGCATAAACCACAGAGGAATAGACACAAGTGGGCTGTCTGTGAACAGCTGTGAAGTAGGGAGTTGATTAAACTAGTGGCAGCAGAGGAGGAAAATATGAAATAACATCATGCCAACAATGTGGTTTTTTTCCTCCCCAAGTACAGGCAAGTCAAGGAAAGCCACCATGATTTCATGAAACAGCAACACACACTTACTTCTTGTTTCACATTCTGACTGAATTTGCTTCTCCAAACTGGATAACAGACCCCCCACACCTTTTTCTTCCATGAGAGAAAAAGCTGACTAGCCCACTGTCACTGTCATATTTTCTGGAAAAATCCCTTTGCCAGGATTTCTCTCCTGTGAAGCCTCAGAGAAAAAGGAAAACAATATTATAACATTTGCCTCTCCTGTGTTTTGCTGCTTTGGAATGTGGTTTGGACATTATTTACCAACAGGTGTTTGTTTCATTGGTTGCATGTGAATTGTTTTTACTTATTGGCCAGCTGTGTCAAGACTCTGAAGGAGAGAGTCACAAGTTTTTCTTTAATATCTTTTAGCTTTCTGTCTGTATCCTTTCTGTGTTCTTTAGTATAGTTTAGTATAGCATAATATAATATAATATGATATAATATGATATGATATGATATAATATAATATGATATAATATAATATAATATAATACAATATAATACAATATAATATAACATAACAACATAACATAACATAACATAACATAACATGTAGTTTTGCAGTTAAAATGTGACTTTTGCCGTTAAAATAGAAACTGTGTGTGGGGTATTTTTTAAGGACAGGAGCGCGGCGCTCACACGCGGGCAGCAGCCACGGGACACCCAAACCCTGCAGAGAACAATAATTTATTGCTCCATCCTCAGAAGAAATGAACTTTCCCCGCCTTGCCCAGCCCTGGAGACGCCGCCGGACGCAGAGGAAGAAGCTGACCCTGCCCAGCCAGAACCCTGAGTCTGAATGGGATTTATGCATCACGCATGAGGTGTATGAATATGCAATGAGCTGTTGATTTTACTATTAACGTGTGTCCTTTTTTGGGCTTATTCTGCCCAGAAAGAGGTACCCGGACCGCCCGTAACTCTTTGTTTTTATTGTCTTGTACTGTCCTGATCCCAATTATTCCAATTTTTATTACTTTACTTATTACTGTTTTTATCACCAGTTTGTTGCTATTAAACTTTTAAAATTCTAAAAAAATTAAAAAGTGATTGGCGTTTTTTCACACCCCCCCAATCCCCTCGGTCCCCCCAAATTCCCGTCCCGCGGCCTCCTCCCCGCTCCGCCACCGCTGGGCCCCACCGGGACTACAATGCCCACAATGCACCGCGTCCCTGCCGGAAGCGGCCGCCGACGCTGCCTCGGGGGGAACTTCCGCCAGTACTTCTGCCAGGCGTGGCTTCTGATTGGTCCGCGCTTGGCGCCGGAGCGGCTGTGCCGCCATCTTTGTTGAGGGTAGTTCCGCCCCGCTCCTCAGAGCGCTCCGCGTTGCCTCATAAATCCAGCCGGGAACGGCGGAATTAATGCGCCTGGAAATGGCGGGACGGAGCGTAAACCTCCTGGAGCTGAGCCGAAATCCCTTGGGACTGAGCCTAAGCCCCCTGGGATGGAGCCTAAATCCCCGGGGATGGAGCCAAAGCGCCCAAATCCTGGATTTTCCCAAGGACTGGGGTGGTCCTGGCGCGGGGGGCCGGCGGTGACGTCACCTCGCCCCGCCCTTTCCGGCGTTGTCCTGAGGCGGCGCCGCCATTACCGCGCTCGCCGCTCACGGGGCCGGTGCTGGGCCGGGTCCAGCGCTGGTCCCGGGGCTCCTTCGCCACCGGAGCGTCCCCGCCGGGTCCCCAGTGAGCATGGAGCCCCAAGAGGTGCGACGGGGGTCGAGGGGACGGGGGCGGAGAGTGGGGGATGGGGGGGGGACACGGGGCGTGGCAGAGGGGACGCGAGTGGGCCACAAAAGGGACTGAGGGGACAGCAGAGGAAAAAGGGGACCCCTGACCGCAGGAGGCCACAAGTGCCAGCAGGTCCCTGTCCCCTCCCCAGGTGCCCCCTCGCCAGCTGCTGGAGCGGCAGGTCGCTGTGGTGGCCACCTTGGGCGAGGTGGTGGCCGCCGTGACCGGGCGGCACAGGGACGCGCGGCAGCGAGTGTCCCCGGTGTTCCTGCGCGCGGCCCTGGGCAGCTTCACCCGGAACCTCTGCGAGATCCTGGACCACGGCGATGTCACCTCCCTGCGCTACTTTGGTGTCCCCTCCCTGGGCCGGGCCCTGGCTGCCTTCGAAGCCACCCCAGAGGCATGTGACAATGCCATCGCGGCGGTCGTGGCCTGGCGGAAGATGGTGGACGCGCTTCAGGGAAGATGGGGGCAGCTGGCGTGCGAGGCCGCTGAGCTCTGTGCTGCCACCACCCAGGCCAGGGACCCGCAGGACAAGGCCGCCCGCCGGGGGACAGATCGGGACAAGCTGGTGGCCGCAGGCCGGTGGCCGACGGTGGACTGGGACTGGGAGGAGGAGGAGGAGGTGGCCTCGGTGGGGGGCACACGCGATGCCTGGGAGGCAGCGGCCGCCAGTGAGGAGGAGGTGGCCATCAACGAGGAGGAGGTGGCCATGAGTGAGGAGGAGCTGGCTGCCAACGAGGAGGAGGCGGCCATCAACAAGGAGGAGGTGGCCATCAAGGAGGAGGAGTTGGCCACCAACGAGGAGGAGCTGGCTACCAACAAGGAGGAGGTGGCCACCAGCCAGGCCACGGGAGAGGCCGTGGTGGCCGCCAGCCGGGCGAGGGCGGCCGCCAGGAGGGGACATTGGGCAGAGGCGGCCCTGGAGCCGCTGCAGCGCTTGGTGGCCGCGTGTGACAGTGCCATTGCCTTCACCAGGAACATGCAGTTCTACCTCTGGGAGATCAACGTCATCCTCAAGTTTGGGGACCAAGCGTCCCGCGATGTCCTCGAGGCCTTGGAGGCCAAAGTGGCCGAGTTTCAGCAGCTGTGGGACGCCAGCGCCCGCCTGTGCAGGGAGTACCTGCTGGGGACACTTGAGCTCATTGACAAGCTGCTCTTGAGTCCCTATGGTGGCCCTGGTGGCCCCAGTGGCCCCGGCAGCCGCGTGGTGACCGAGCGGTGCCGAGAAGCCATCGAGAACATCCCGAGGCTGCTGTGGGGACAGTGATGTCACCGCTGTGACATCATTGGGGCAGTGATGCCACTGGAGAGACTTGTGGACACTTGTGGGCCACCAGCTCCTCAAGTGCCACCAGCTCCACAAGTGCCACCAGCTCCCCGTGTCACCAAGATTCCCTCAGGTGCCACCAGCCCCTCAGGTGCCACCAGGTCCTCGTGTCACCAAGGTCCCCTCAGGTGCCACCAGCTCCTGGTGTCACCAAGAGCCCCTCAAGTGCCACCAGCTCCTGGTGTCACCAGCTCCCCGTGTCACCGGGTCCTCGTGTCTCCAAGGTCCCCTCAAGTGCCACCAGCCCCTGGTGTCACCAAGATCCCCTCAAGTGCCACCAGCTCCTGGTGTCACCAGCTCCCTGTGTCACCAAGGTCCCCTCAGGTGCCACCTGCTCCCCGTGTCACCCGGTCCTCGTGCAGGAGAACCCGGGGGGTCCCGTGGGGCTCGGTCTGTCCCCTCCCCCGTTATCAGCTGGGACCCCCTGTGAGAAACCAGGGTCAGAATTGAAATTTTTATAAACGTTTGTTAAGGGATAAAATCCTGGCGCTAATTGCCAATAGCTGCCTGTTAATTAAACCACGTTCTTTATATTCCGTTACATCACAGAGGTTCATGCATGTTCATGAGGGTTGATGCATATTCAGTATTGATCTAAAAAGAAAAACATGTATGAATAATGAAATAGAAATGTATATTTTTAAAAATGCTTTACATTAATGTATTTTATACCAACAGAATTTATATTATATTTATATATATTATTATATTAATTTATTATATTATTTTTAAATAATATTTTAATATTTTTATATACATAAATATACTATATTTTTCTATATTCTGTATGAATTATTTTCAGACATTCCTGTGAGTTCAGAAGTTCTTTTGTTTGGTTTTAATCCTTGACTTGCCTTCATGCCGTCGTGTGCATGAAACCAGTTTATTTTATTTCTCCTCGCGGTTCCATCGTGTTGTGTGTTCACTCCCTGGTGACGAGAGAAGAATTCATAAATTCTTCCTTTTTTTACTGTTTTGGAACTGGGATGGGACTGGGGACACTGGGA